TGCTTTAAAATATATCTAGATAACATTTTAGCTTTCTTGTCTAGTAAGTCTCCGAAATCCATTATTGCTAACTATATAAGGGTGCAAAGTACCCGAAATGCGAAGTAAAGTGGAGTATCTAGTTACTATATTGCTTTCTTGTATAGTTTGAGTCTTCAAATCTATTCCAATCATGAACAAATGAAGTGTAGTGAGTTATCAGGGAGCATTTTCAAGTCGAGCAATATATTGGGAAACATAAAACCACCAATATGAGCCTAGCAATGGCCAGAAGCAGAGGCAGTAGGCTTCGTACAGAAAGTGCAAGGAATGTGTTTTTTGGCTCTCTGAAGCTTTTTTATATATATACTCAAGTTAGAGTATATTAAAATTTAAATTTAGAGAAAAAAATATATAAGGTAATATATATAAATCAGTGAACTATGTATAGATATGGACCTTGTCCAAGATGTGGTGATACATTTGCAACAAACCAAAAATTCAAGTATCATTTAACTGAAAGAAAGCACCCTTGTGCATCTTGGAGTATATTACAAACAACTGTTCAAATTTCTAGCTCTAAACCCTTGTCTAATTCAGATTCGCAACTTCAAGTAGTAAAAGATTCCAATGCTAGAAAATCAGGTGAGTCTGTTAAACAATAGAAATCGAGATTGCGAAAAAGGATTAAGTATCTAAGTTCTTATATTGATAGAGATCAGCCCAAAAATTTAGCAGAATGCAAAGCTCTTTATGACGAGTTATTGCAAATGAATGAAAAGGTATATAAAAATATAAAGCCTACAGAGTAGGAAAAAAAAAAACGTGAATTCTTTGACAAACCAGAAATCGATAAGTTGGAAACTCGAGACTATGTCTCTCCTGAAGCTGGTCCAGGTCCTTGAACCCAAACTCATTGTAAAGGTAGACTTACTGAATCAGAAGAAATAGAAACTCAACAAACCACACCATTAGATAATACAGAATTACAACCTGTTCAAGAATTGCTTAATCACAAAGATAAATTTCTAGATTTAGATATAGAAGTACCATGGCTAGTCCCATATCCCGATAACAAAGAACATCGTGTAATATAGCAAAATGGAATTCAGACTGCAAAAGATATGTTCAAGGTAGATAGAGCTAAATATGCTTTCTCAACCTAGTTTACAAAAGCTAAAGAGATAGATTTGGCCAGTATAATATTAAGAGCAGAAAATGGAGATAAAGCTATGCAGGAGATGTTTTTTCAATGCCTATTTTGGAATTATTCAGAAGAAGAAATCAATGAAACTATAAAATTGGCAGTAGATGCTTATAGAGCATTTGAAAATGAAGATGAAGCTATACAGGGGCTATTTTTACAATGTCTATATTGTAATTATTTAGAAAAAGAAATCAATAAAACTATAAAATTGGCAGTAAATAAAGGATATAAAAACTGGTTGAGATATATAGAAGATCAAATAGAATCAAAAAAAATCGAAGCTGGAATGACTGAAGAGCGAGCACAAAGAATATTAAATACAATTGATAATTATGAGTATTTAATAAGAGTAAAATTCATTCGAGACGATACAGTAATATCAGTTGAGAAAACAAAAAAAGGCTTTAAAATTATTAACAAATATGAGCCTATTCGTAAATCAAAAAAAGCAGGTGGTAAATATGTCCAGGGTGGTCCAAATGTTATACTTATAAAGAAAACGAAACTGGGCTTTTGGCTAGAAATAGATGAAAAATTTCTGGTTAGAGAAGTCAGTGTACAATCCAATGTAGAAAAACTTGATAGTAATACAGTAGTCTATGGATTATATCGAATCTGAATCGATTAATATCTATGAAAGATAGAGTATTTAACTGTGTAGCTCAATGAGTAATAGAGCATTTTGATAACACTAAGCGAGGGCATGGACTCACAGAAATTTGTTGGCAAAAAATAAATGATTGGGAGAAAAAAATATACATTCTAGGTGCTCAAGTACAAGATGTAGCAGAGTTAGAAAAAATTCTTAAACGACTGATTAAATTACTTGATATAACTTATAGTACTATATTTAATAGTGAAAAGTATCAATTAGGTAAGTATGAAGAAATCGAAATAGTAGTTTATAATGGCCATGCATTTCCAAGAAACCAGCACTTCCCAAGAGATCGAATGGTTGAATATTATAAGGGTGATACATGGAAAGCTATCAGTAATGCCCTCAGGGGACCTCAAGCAATCTGGCTTATGGGAGTGGGGAATACAAGTCAAACAATATCCCAGTTTGTTCTAGAAGATGGTTGCACATTTAGAACATGAAAAAAGCATATAGAAATTATAGAAGCATGCAAACAACTGGTCAATGATACAATAGATTGGCAATATCAGGAAGAAATAATCAATAAAGAAAAGAAATCGATTCTTTCAGAGTCTCTAAAAGTTGTTGATTTAGCAGAGCAGGTATTTGGTGCAAACTATGCTGGAAGCTGACTTGCTAATGAAATCAATAAATGGCATCCAATATCTGGAAAAGTAAATGAAAATATAAGGCAAGCCTATGTCGAGTATGGGCATGGTGGATGCTGGAATGCACCCGATTATCATGTCAATGATGTCATATATATCAATATGAAAGAATGTTATCTAGCAAGTATGCGAGATCAAGAAAAATATATACCATGGTTTAATAGGTTCGGACATCCAACACACTACCTTGTTCGATTTGTGGTAAATAGAGAATTGCCGGAGGATAATATCACTAGATTTGCGCAGGTAAGATCTTTTAAATTTGCATCAAATATATATTCAGCGATTGCCGTCTGGTACAGAAAACATTTTGCGTGTCGAAGTGGAGAAGGATGTGGGAAAGAAAAAGGATAGACACCTATTGTACTTCTATGATATCTTCTTGAGGTTGATATTCTAGAAAGTGTGACTATTGAAGAAGCAATAATTTCTCTTACTAAACAGACCAAAGTATGGCTACCTAGAAATCGAGATATTAGTTGTGCAATTATAGGTAA